CTTTGCCCTTTGTTTCTTCTTCTTTACAGCTTACAGATATCTTGACCAAGTTGCATTCTATTTCCTGTTTTCATTTTCTAGTTGGCAAACTCTCAATGCTTGTAGCTGCCGCAACATGAGTTTGAGGGGGGGATGTAAGAAATATAAGGTTATTTTGTTTTATTGTTTATTAAGGGTAGAATAGTATTTTCTGTTTCCTTTGTTTAACCTATATATAGTCTCTTTGTATCTAGGTTAAATTATCTTTTTATATTCAATTGCATTATGCAAAATCAATGAAACTCTACCTCCTCTTCTTTTTCTTTATTTTTTTGGATTGTTTAACAGATTCCACCATCTTTTTAGAAGTTTTGCATAGTTATGTTTTACTTCGATCTTAGGTGCTTCATTCATTCACCCCGTCTCACCCCACAGGCATTTAGGCATACCCTTATAGGTTCACTTGTGTAAACATTTGTATGTATTTTTCATTTTTTTTTTGTTTGTATTTGTGGAAAAGCAACTCTTGTGGTTTTTAGACCATCAAATTCAATCTTTGTGGGGGTTAGGACATGGGCAAACCTGGGGGGTGGCCTGGGGGGCATGTGCCCCCTAGATTTTAAAGTTTTTTTTTTAATATAAAAAGTAAAGTAAAAATCTGAAACCTCTCATTTCCTGGTTACACTCTCCAGCTCGCTTAGCCTCTCACTCTCTACTCTCGCCTCAGTCTCTCCTCTCTCTTTCTGGTCTCCGTCTCTCCGACTCTTTCGTGGCGGCGATAGTTGCGAGCCAGGGACACCACCACCCCACCACTCCACCAAAAGTCCACAAAATCTAAGCTTCTCCTTCATTCCCATTTTTCCTCTACTCTGTCGCCTCTTGGTCTCTCTCGTCCGCAGTCCCAGACCCAGGACAGTGACTTCCAACTCCCGTCGCCCTACTCCTGTGATGTGATGAGGTAAGTTTCATTTTTCCTCTCAAAATTAAAGTAATGGAGATTTAAGGATTCTGTGTTTTCCATTTTTTGATTTAGGGATTTTGGGATTTTGATAAAATTGACAGAGATTTCTAATTAGGGATTTAGGGATTTTGATGAAACTGATAGGGATTTCTAATTTGTGACTGTGAACTGTGAATTTGTGTGACTGTGAACTTGCTAATTGTGTCTGTGTTGTCTAATTTATGGATTTCTAATTAGGGATTTTAACGTAACTGATAGGGATTTCTAAATTGTGTGGGTGTGAATTATGATTAAGAACCTTACTTGAGACCATTTATTGAGAAGGCAATTATGAACTTGCTAATTAATTGATTTATGAAGCTTGAAACTTTCTTATCTAATGTGATTGATATTTTTTATATGTATCAGTTATGGATAAATACTTCAAACGTAAATCTATGAATGTTGATGTTGAA